CTGTCCGGCCAACTCGGGGGTGGGGGGCTGAGGTGTGGCAGACAGGAGAGGGTGTAGTGCGTGTGAGTCCCACAGGATACTGTACATCTGCCGGCACGGCACGCGGGACTCATGCCTGTCCTTTAGGACCCCACCCCCACCACCGCGTTTGCATAAAGCCTCTGGGGGGCAGACAGGGGTCCCTTGGGACTTCCAGCCACACCAGTGACAGCTGCGCCCAGGAAGGCCACTCCCACCACGCACCCGCAGGTACCTTGCCTGGTGCGCACTCGGTCCCATCCAGCGGGGGCCCCTTCTTGGTCTTGCAGAAGTACGGGTTGTCGGGGTGGCTGCACCACAGCTGCTTGCAGGGCTCGAAGGTCCTGAACTGCGTGGTGAGGGCATGGGTCACTAGCTGGACCGGATTCCCGGCTCCGGCAAGTCGTCCCGAGGACCAGGGTAGTAATGGGGAGAGAGGTAGGTACAGTGGACCCCAGGGTTCAGGGCACCATGAGGAAGACCGCCAGAGCCACACCTCCACGCTCAACTCCGCGCCCAGTGCCATGGCCTCCAGGGACCCCTCCTCTCCGACAGGGCACTGAGCAGGGGCCCAGCATGTCCATGCTTCTTGTCACCCTCCACCTTTGCAGAGGTCCCTTTGTCACTAGGCTTCAAGGCTCTAGGGAGGGTCTGGGCCTATGGTGCCCCTAAGCCTGTATATCCAGACAAGGTGGAGACGCCATCTCTCTCTAACTTGGACACCCGGCCATACCAGAGGCCACTAACTTTATGTTTTGGATTGTCCGGGGAAGCCTGGCTGACGTCTTCAATGCTCTCTCTTATTATTCCCCACCAGCCAGACCAGCGTCCTACAGACACAGACAGCAATTGGGCCCTGAAATCCCACATCCTGCTCCTCTGCCCCGAAGCAGCGCTTTGTCGGCCCACGCGTCTCAGTACGGCCTGGGCAGTAGGAAGGTGACCACACACAGGGCCTCTTGGTTCTGCTGAGGAAGGAGGGGTTTTCATTTCCTGGATGAGGGGTCTGAAGCACTGGAGTCACCAAGCCCTGCCCCCAGCAGAAAGCCCCTCCAGTGAGAATGTCCCCTCTTCTCTGAGCTCCAGCCTGGGCCCAGTTAGCAGTAGCCTGTTTTTTTTCCTGGGTGGCTCCAGCTGATCTCCAGCTCAAGGGTGTCTGTCCGGCAGGATAGGGACAGGGTTATGACTCTGTACCCATGTCCTCAGGCATAGGGGGCCAGGGGACAAGGAACAGGCCCCCTGGATACAGGTGATATACAGGTCTAGGAAGGGGACAGTTAGACCAGAACGTCCCACCAACGCCATGGAGGGTGTGGGAACTGCCAGGCCAAACTGACACCTGATCTGACACCCGGATCGCTTCACAGAAAAGCGCTTCAGGTGACCAGCCCAGCCCAAATCCCACCAGCCGCCTGCCCTCTCTGTTCTACTGTTTCCACCTTTCCAGGGCTTCCAGTCTCAGGCCACCGCACACAGCTGCCCCCTACAGGTGGGACTGGGCAGGGCCTGGGCCCTGTTCACTGCATTCCCCCATGGAGGCTGGCACTCAGCCTGTAGTGCCCTGGAATAACCGGCCTGAGACACAGAGGGACACCACCCTGGCAGAGGCCAGGTGGGCACTCACCGCCAAGCAGGTCTGGTATCCAGCGCCAAAGTCAAAGCGGCACTGCTGATCCATTGAGTAGTCAACCCCGGGCAGCTCTGGGGGTTGGGGCCAGGTGGGCTCAAAGGGGTCGTCGAGGAGGCAGTCGTAGGAGCTGCGGGCAGAGACGACGGAGGTGAGCCAGGCCGAGGCAGGAAGTTTCAGGCTCTCTCTTCCCAGGGGTCAGGCTTTTAATGAGCAAAGATGCCTGTGTGGATCTGCACCCAGTGCCCTGCACCCAGGGTTGGCTCTTCTGGGGAGGACAGGCTGCCCTGAGCATGCCCCTCACTCTGGACCTCACTGCCACCAGTGATTGCAAATGGGAGGGCTCCATGGTGACCACGTGCAAGGGCACCAGGACTGGGGTTAGGAGCTCAGCATGTGGCAGGCATTGCGGGTCAGTTCTTTCTTTTAGAGGGCCATGCTTTAGCCAGGGCTAAGGGTTGTAAGGGTTGGTTAGTTCCAATGTGAGGGCTTGTTCTGCGCTGAAAGAAGAAACACCAGCCTCCCCCACCCCCACCCATGCTAGGTGCCATGGGAAGCTGGGGCTATACCGCTGTCTCTGCCTGCCCCACCCAGTCTACTCGGCCCCACCTCAGGCCTTGAGCTCTTGAGTCTAACACTTGTCCTGTGCCTCAACATTCCTGGACACCCAAGCCAGGACCTGAGTGGGTGCTCCTGGGCCAGCAACAGGAGTGTGGACGTGTGGGGAGAACGAAGCACCCTCCTTGGCATGCCTCTTCACTAAGACCTTGAGAAAGCAGCAGGGACCCACCCCCAACCGGTGGCTCCTAAACTCAAGCATACATGTGTTTGACTCATCCTGATTCCTGAGTCCAACCCAGGCAGGTTCCAACTTAGCCTCTTGGGTGAGGCCAGGGGATAGGACTCTCTCTTTCTCTATATATATTTATTTTGTTTTTTAACTGCCAGAGGGTGCATGCATTCACGAGAGAGAGAGGCAGAGAGAGCGAGAGAGCAAGCACTCCCCAATGAGGCATGGTCACATCAGAATCCCTTCTCTTCCATTTCTGCATCCTGATGGGATTTGGGGCACACACGAACACATTCCTGGCATATTTTTCAAGCCTCTGAGCCAGGATTTGAACCGTAGTCAGTCATGTGGTATCTGGTTCCCTTAACCATTAGGCAATAGGGCTGGCCCAGATAGGAGTCTTTAATAAGAATCACGTGCCAGTGGTCACCCAAGCACACTTTCCCACATCAGTCTAACCCACCTGTGATGCTAATGGGGTGTTTCAGGTCAGGTGATGGGTAGGGAGGGGCTAGAAGAGTCACAGAGGAGTCAAGTTGGGTGGCAGGGGTGGAGGTGATGACCGAGGGGAGACAGCGAGCATGGAGCCTCTGCTCGGAGTGGCAGGGGGTGGAGGTGACCTACGGCAGGTAGCGGCTGAGCTCCAGCTTGCTGCAGCGGGACCAGTGGAAGCGGTGGAAGGCAGCCTGCACCAGGGGCGCCATGACGCTGCCCAGGCTGGTCTCGTCTGTGCAGCCGTTCCCCTGACCATCATGTTCCATGCCGAGCCTGGATGGGGGGATAGGGGGCCCTGCGTCACACCCAGGAGCCCACCCTGGAAGACCATAGGCTTCTGTGTCTCCTGGCCTGTCTCCTGACCATGCAACAGGAGGAACACCCATCTCCACAGCTGCTGGGTGAAGCTGTCCCCCAGCGGAGCCAGGCTCACTCTGCCCTCCAGGTCTTTGTCCTGCTGTTCTCTGCTCCAGAATACACCTGGCCACTCCTCAAGCCCCGCCCACATCCTCACAGCTGCAGAGGCCAGCTGAGCCTTCCTCATGCTCCAGGACCCCACTCCCACCACAGGCTGACCTCCACATTGGGGGCTGCCTGTGACAGCAGATGACCTGCATGCCATGCACTGTCTTCCCATCAGACTGGAGGCCTTTGCGTGCAGGGCCTGGTCTCATCCAATTCCATTCAGCCCCATTTATGGATCCCTCGGTGTGCCTGGCTCTTACACTTCTCCAGGACCCTGCAGAACTCAGCACACAGCTTTTCCGGGGCAGGCACTGACCACAAGGATTGTTCACATGTCAGCCTGCCCTCCACAGTTAGTGTTTAATGCCAAGCAAACCTGGCAGCTCCGGTTTCTTTGACATGTGTAGGTACTGCAACTGGCCTTGACAACACATGGGCAACACATGGGCCTCTAAGCTTGGCCTTGTCTTCTCTTTCCATGGGGAGGGCCCTCTGCTCAGTGAAGAGTAGATGCCCCCTGCCACATCAGGAAGACAAGCCCCTGGCTCCAGAACCAATGGAACCATTGGCTTCCATGACAAAGAGCTCTGAAGTGTCCCTCATGTCAGTCTCCATGTCATAGGTCCTAGGAAAAGAGGCAGGCCCTGCTCTGAGGATCAGAGCTGGGTGAGATCCACAGGCAGGTGGGGAGGGGCTCTGCAGACCTCAGACAGCAGACACCCCAGGTGCTGGGGCTCAACCGACCCCCTTTCCCTTCTTCTTCCAGCTGCAGAGAAAGACCCTGGCTGTGTGTGGCTAGGAGGGGCAGGCTGGGGACTGCAGCTCTTAGCTCTGCCCTGTGGACAGACAAAGCCAGTAGGTATGACTGTGGCATGTGTGGGTCACCACCTAACACACCAGACAGTGGCTCACTGGTTGCCCAGCATGGAGCTTTATTTATTTATTTTTAACACTGATCCCTTTTCTGCCTCTTTTTCAAAAAGTTTATCTATTTATTTCTTCCATGAATGACAGACAGACAGGATGCCCAACAGGGAGCATCCTGATGCTATAGTCTAACCCCAGCCTGGCCAGCCCAGAATCGTGGTCACATGCATGCCCAGCATGCTCAGGGAGGTCTCTGGACATGAACCAGGAACCTGTTCACATGGATTGCCTTGCAGAATATCATGTTTTACCATGATGCCATTGTCTAGCCCTATCATGTGGCTTCATGAGGGTTTCTCTGCCCTGCTGTCCACCGGAGCCCTGTTTGTAGAACTGGATCTGGCACACAGTGGGTGCTTAAGAAACAGGTTAAATAAATGAATGAACATGCACTAAGCAAAACCCAAGCCCAAGGACCAGGTGAGCCAGCCTCTGCCCAGCCTGCTGCCCAAGCTCCAAGCGTGCCTGTTTAGGATGGGCTTGAGCCAGCTCTCCAGCAAGTGCCGAGCACCGGCATGGGCTGGAATGTCTCTCAGCAGGGCCTCAAGGTGTGGACCACAGAGAAAGTAGGTCTGGACTTGTGATGGGGACACTGCCACCCCCAGAGGCTGGGCCATGGCTAGTCCCCTATGACCCAGGACTTGGAGGCTGGCTCCAAGGCAGGCCCAGAATTGCTGTGGTTCTCAGGACAGGGTATCCCTCCATGGGCAGTTCTGGGAGGTCATGCCTCAGGGCGGGCTAGGGCACAGGCACTGGGGCCTGATCCTGGGCAATGCCTCCCACATCCACAGAACTCCTTGGTGCTCACGGCACAGTCCACAGTCACAGAGTTGCCAGCCCTGCCCATCACCCTGGTATGACTTACACATGGCCAGTCTCATGGGCCACCACGAAGGCCGAGGAGAAGCCATCCTCATGGTTAAGGGCACAGCTTCTCAGGGGGTGGCACATGCCAGTGACAGGTGCATACCCTGATGGGGAGAAGGAGAGAGGGCACAGAGAGGTCATGGGAAGGTGAGACAGGATGAGCCAAGGTCTGTGCACAGCTCGGCCACTGCAGGAATGTCCTTACCTGGTCACCACCAGAGGGAACCTGGAAGAAGAAGGATATTTGCAAAATCCGACCTGCCACAAAGCAAAACTGGGCCAAGCTGCCCCAGAGTCCAAAGGCTTGATGGTTTCCCCCTCAGCCTGCAGCTTCCCAGAATTCAATGCCTTCCCCTACAGCCCACCCACCTCCTAAACAAGGCGGCAGGAGCCCGGGCAGGTCCTGAGCCTGTGCACTCTACTGGCATGCTGCCTCCCTCTGTCCTGCAGTCAGTCAACAAACAAGCTCCGAACTTTCTGTGTGTGAGTTGAGGCGGCACTGTGTTAGACACTGTGGGTCCGAAGGGCTAGAGTTCAAGGAGCAGGTGGGGAGTGAGCAGGTGGGGAGTGAGGAGTGAGGTGGGGAGTGAGGGAAGGATAGCAACTAAGAGGTTGAAGAGGACCAGGGAATGACTGAGGGGGGCACTGGAGGTGGGCCTGGAGGGCAGGGGAGACAAGTCTCTGGAGGTCAGGGTTAGGTCCACATGACACGCAATGGGCCTGGCATGGAGCGGCAACAGTTGCTCAGAGCCATTACCTGGTGGTGTGTGAGGCCTGGGTTCTAAGGGCCGCTTCCACACTGCCCGGGGCCGGTTACCATGGATGGCACAGTCCGCAGGAGCTGGCAGCAGGTGCTCTCTGCCTCAGCGTGTAGCCGATCGGCAGGGGTAGTCCCCCGCCCCCGCGGGGGGGGGGGGTTTTTTGTTTTTTTTTTTTTTCAGGCTTAATTCACTTTATTCTCGCTGTATGAAAACCCTAGGTTGTGGCCACAGCTGGAGCCTGGGTCCTCTGCACAGAGACTCTGCTGTGGGTCTTGATGAGATGGTCGGTGAATTCCTGAGAGGGAGACTTGGTGAACACGGTCTCTTTCCAGAGGTCAGGGGTCAGACAGCTGTAGGTCTTGGAGATGCATCAAAGGTGGCCTTGGCGAAGTTGCCCAGGGTGGCAGTGTAGCCCCAGGCTGAGATCGATGCCAGCCATCAGCAGCAGCTTCTTGGGCACAGGAGTAGAGACAATGCCAGTGCCTCTGGGGGCAGGAATGAGGCACACCAGCACAGAGCCACAGCAGCTGGTCACCATGCAAGGGACAGTGTGGGACTTGCCGATCTTTAGCCCCAGGCTGAGATCGATGCCAGCCATCAGCAGCAGCTTCTTGGGCACAGGAGTAGAGACAATGCCAGTGCCTCTGGGGGCAGGAATGAGGCACACCAGCACAGAGCCACAGCAGCTGGTCACCATGCAAGGGACAGTGTGGGACTTGCCGATCTTGTTCCCCCAGTAGCTTCTCCACGCTGGGACAGAGGAGCGATGGCCCCTCCTTAGAGCACTTCACGCCCAAACTGACATGGCCATTGTAGTTCCTGATGGCGACAAATGCCTTGAACCTGGTCCACTGGCCAGCGCGAGTCTGCTTCTGCACGGGCATGATCTTCAGAACCTCATCCTTGAGAGACGTTCCCAGGAAAAAGTCGATAATCTCAGACTCCTTGATGGGCAGGGAGAAGAGAGAGATCTCCTCCAGGGATTTGATCTTCAGGTCTTTGATCAGGCGGCCCAGCTTGGTGACTGGGATCCCTCTTTGTCCTCGGCCTTGCCTCCCCGAGCTCTGCGGCAGTGGCCCTAGCCCTGACCACTGGGGCTGCTGCAGAACCCTGCATGAAAGCCACCCCAACCTCTTATCCCAGGACGCCCAGGGCCTCGAGGCCCTGCTGCTGCACCAGTGTCATCTGCCATTTGGTGTTCTCTCGGAGAGGAAGCTGGATGTTCTTTTCTTTGATGCATTTCAGGGGAATAACAAGAGGCTCTAGCAGAAGGGTGGTTTCTGGGGTTTCTATTGTCCTGGGGGTCTGGGAGTTGCTTTGTGTGCAACTGAAGTACACACATGCGTATGTGTTTGTGCGTCTATGTGTGAGTGTCTATGCCTCTGTGTACACATACCTGTCTAGCTGGGTATCTGTGCATGTGCCTGTATGTGTGTATACGGTGTGTCTGTGTCTATATGATGTTAAAGCTGCATGCACTTATAGGCTGATATCAACTCTGTCACAGACATTTCACGCGCCCCTTGGCCCTTTTAGCAGCTCTGGAACGAAGGAAGGCAACTATCATTTTCCTTACTCGACAGCTGAGAGCCTGCAGCAGGGAGAGAGCTTGGGTCACTGGGCTCGGGAGGCGTGGAGCTGGCGCGGAGCACAGACTTCCTCCTCCACGGCTCACCCGCCCTACCCTCAGCACCCCAAGGTCTGAGATGAGGACGGAAGGACAAGGTGTGGGTAGAAGCATGGTTTTTTGGGTTTGTTTGTTTTGTTAAGGTTTTTACCACACAGCGCATGTGCTTGCCAGAGAGAGAGACAATGAGAAATCACCCCTTACACCCACCCCTGAGAGGATGGCCACACTGCAACCCCTTCTCCTTCACTCTCCTCCTGGGATTGAGGGCACGCCCACACATGCACCTGGCATGATTTTCAAGCCACCAAGTCCGGCGCTCAAACTATGGTCAGTCATGTTGTTGAAGTCCAGTACCTTAACCACCACACCAGGCCCTGTCTGCTCCAGCTTCCTTGCAGTGGGGCCTGGGACAGCCCATAGGACTCTAGGCCCTGTGCCAGGCCTCTGCCTGTGGCCTGCAGCCTGCATACCTGGTCATGGCAAATATAGTACCTTGCATACCTGAGGGCCCAAAGTTCTGCCGGGTGAGGAAGACCACATGGTCGTGGTGCTCTGCATGGCCAGGATCCTGGCGCTGCTGGGAGGACGCCCAGCGACACACCTGCTCCAGGCTGCGCGACGGGTTCCCACGCTCGATCAGGCTCAGGGACTGCAGGGTGGGAGAGCGGCAACAGCACAACGAGTCTGTCAGAGCCTGAGACCCAGCTCTCCTCCCACTTCTGTCCAAGGCCACCCGCTGTCCCAGGCCACCCGCTGTCCCACTCCCGTGCTGCTGACACTCATCCTCCCTGCTCCAGGGAGGTTCACACCCCAAGCTCTGGGCTGGATGTGTGTCTGTGGACCTTGACACACAGCATCTCCACTCCAACTAACATGCAGGCTGGGCTGCTCTGAGTGTCTCCTCTACACTTGTGTCTTTGTCTCATTTAAATCTCACAATAGCCCCAGGAGGAAAGTTCTGGAGACAATGAATGATTGGTCCACGATTGCAGGGCCCAGGGCCCCAGGGCTCAACCATGCCTCTATTGCTGTCCCTCTCAAGCCCCAGTTTTCCCATCAACTCCTCAAGGTTTCTCAGATCGAGGGAACCCCCAAATCCCCACTCACCAACTCCAAATGTCTCCGCACTGGAGCCAGCGTTCTAATGATCTCAGGGTTGTGAGCCAGAGACAGTTTCCTGAACTTTCATCCCTCTACCCTGTACCCTAGCTGGCCCAATACTGGCCTCGTAGCACTTTGCCCTCCAAACCTGCCCACTGATGGGGGCTTACCTGCCGGTAGCCAACCATGATCAGGCGAACAAGGGCGATGTTTATGTGCGCTCCCAGGGACTCGTCGTGGTAAATCTCATCAACCTGCAAGGAGGCGAATGCAGTCAAGGGGAAGCAAACGTTTGCTAAGGACCTGCTGTGTGCCTAGGACTGGGCACTGTACCTAACATGGTGACCCACTTCCCCACCGTTACCTTACCAGACAGACAGTCTTATCCCTACTTTATAGAGAAAACACTGAAACAAGAGAAGCAAAATAACTTGCCCAAAGACACCCGGTTAAGCTGCAGAGCTGGGGTTACAATCCCAAACCACTTAATTTCAATCCTGGTTCTTTCCACAGAGCTAAACTATGGGGTGGTCTGCTCTCCTACTCAGCAACTCTGACCGAAACCATCTCCGAAGAGCCTCTTAAAAACCTCACCTGGCTCAAGGAACACAGTTCAGGCCCCTGGTCGTGACATCTCCATGCACATTTCTAATTGCCCAGATTCACTTCTGCCCTGCAGTGCCTGGGCACCGTGGATGAGAGAATAATCTAGGGCCTTGACCAGCAGTAACAGCATGGCCCGAGAGCTGGTTAGGAATGCAGAGTCTCAGGCCCTCCCCAGACCTCCTGAAGCAGGTTCTGAATCTTTGAACAAGGTGCCCAGGGATCCTTAGGCATGGGCCAGTTTGAGGAGCACTGCTCAGGATCATCCTTTTTTCTCCCAAGCCCAGGGGTCTAAGAGGCAGTGCTTTACACAGTGCATCGAAGTATCTAGTCCTCAGTACCCTATATCCAGGAAGCCCCTGAACAGTCTCCAAGGTAGATGGACACACACACTCCAAGAATAGGCGGCTCACCCTCTTCCAAAGACGCCCATCTCCTGAGTGGCCCCACGGGACAGTCCTGATTTTTTTTGTTTTGAATAACTTTATTTTTCTGAATATAAGGCATTTCATTTCCCTTCGCCCAAAGGGTTGAAAGTACACAAAAAGAGAAGAAATTTATGTCACCCTACCGGCTAGATTATAACCACCACCATTAATATGCTTCCTGCTATGGACATGTGCATTCTATTTCACAAAATTGGAATCGTGCTGAACATACTGTCCACACTGTGTTTGCTTCAAGGAGCCTCGTTCTGTGTATCTGTAATTTCTAATGTCTGCAGGGATGGGCTGATGTAGGTGGGGTCTTCAAAAAGTTCATGGAAATGCATATTATGAAAAAATTATGCATGGATTCCCTTTTTTTTTAAATCAAAATGAACTCATACTTTAATTCCATTTTTCCACAAATTCTATGAAGTCCCCTCATTGGACCTTCAGAGAGGAGAAATGACTTGCTCAGCATGAGTATGAGAACAGAGCAAGAGCGAAATCACTCCTGGGGGGGTCCTAGGTTCAAATTCCAGCTCTGCCCCTTATGAGCTGGGTGGCTCTGAGCAAAGCAGGCAACCCTTAGAACTCTGTTTCATTTTGTGCAGGATGAGGTTAATAATGGCCATCACAGGACTCACTGTGTAAATGTCTGGGATCCACGAGTGAGCCACGCCAGGCACAGAGGCCCCAGGCACATTCAGTGACAGGGAGGGAAGAAGAAGTGGAGCCTGTCCCAAACTCCTGCCTGCCAGCTCCTGGAGTTGGAAAGCAGTTTCACGCACAGTCATTCTCACCTCCTCAGCCTCCCTTGCCCTTCAGCCATCGATTTCCTTTCATTCACAAGCAAAGAACCAGCCTACAACTCACAAAGGGGTTGCTGTCCATCCGCTGGAGAGGAACAGTGCTTCCAACCATGTGCGTGAGAGTCCTGGGGGTGGGGAAGACCAGAGTGGAACTGCAGACCTGCTCCTGTGCTGACACACCTCTAGGCCAGCCCAGATGGAGCCAGCTGTGGGCACAGGGCCATGGCAGCAGGAGCCACATGTGCCAAAGCCAGTCCTGGCCTGCTCTCCCCAGCACCCGGAACTGGCAGCCACCCCCGTTCATGAATGTGCAGACGTTGGAGCAGCCAGAGTCACACTTGTGCCAGGGGCCTTCCTGGCACCTATGTCTGGATCCATCTGAGTGGAGACACCAAACACTAGTGCGCATGGTGGGAAGGCAGCCCCTAGCCAATGCCCCCTGCAAGGAATGACGAGAGCGCACTGGGTGGTAGGGCATCCTTCCCACCCTCCTCCCAACCCCAGCACCAGCTAAGACATTGGGAACGAAGCACTCCAGCACATAAAGACCGTGTCCTTCTCCACCCACATGCCTCAGGCCTATCCTAGGAGGGGCTGTGAGGTAAGGTGGGGGGTCACACACACACATACACACACACACACTCCCAGATGGGATTCTAACCTAAGGATTTTTTTATTGGTCACTGAAATGATTATCAAACTGCAACAGAGTGACTCTTAAATAACACCCAATTCTCAGCCTCTCCAACACCGGAATATGGTCTTCCTTCCATACGGGCATAGTCATTGTCAGGACCTCCCTGACGTGCTCTGTAAGCTGAACAAAGATGGGTTCATAGGCAATGCATGCTCTACACAGCACGTGTGTGCCCCGTGTGTGCACATGTAAACCTACCAGTTATCCTAAAATACGAGAAGAGAGGAGTCACTGGGACATTTGGGTAGGCACATTTATAGGACCCTTGGGCACCTGTAAGTACCCCAGGTCACTGCCTTCCTCCATGTGTCTCTCTCGCATAGGGTGGACCAGGCAGATGGCTGCCAGAATCCTGCCATACCAGTCACTCTGTCCCTCATTCAGCAGGCCAGATCCACTCAGCAAGGGACCCTGGTTCCACCAGCTGTCATCGGAGCCCAGGACATTGGGAGGTCCTGATGGTGGGATTGGGGAGGGTGCTGCTGCAGGAAGTAGAATCAGAGCTCAGCCGTCCAGTGCTGATGGGAGTATGGGTACGGCCTCCCATGCCACCTCCTACTCCCAGGTAACTGGCCTCGATACAAATGCTGAGCAAGCAGAACGGGACAGCCCATCTGGAGATTCCATGTGCTTCAGCACTCGGATGCAACCTGGAGAACCGGGCATCAGGGGACATCATAGCAGGCTCTGCAGCACAGAGCCCACACGCCCAACCAGGAGTCTGAGGAAAGGAAGATGGCATGTGTGTAAGCAGGAGGCTTGGGAAAGTCTTGCTGGAGGACCATGTGAGAATGCAAGAAGGTGCCATTTATGAACTAAAACCCAAGCCTTCACCAGACCCTGAATCTGCCAGCACCTTGACCTTGGACTTGCCAGCCTCCAGAACCATGAGAAATGAACTGCTCTTGTTTATAAGCCACCTAGTCTAGTATTTGGTTAGACTAGACAGCAGCCCCCATCTGATGGGGAATCTCTGGTGAGGGCTCAGGGGCCTCCCACAGTGAGAAATACTCGCCCAGCCAAGTTGTGAAACCATAGCATGTGGACAACAGTGCTGGAAGCCTGGTTGCAGGTTCAGATCCCCAGTCAGCCTGGAAAAGTACCAGACAGGCAGAGGGGCTAAGATCCTGAGGAGTTGGTGGGGTGGGGAAGGGGGACTGCAGTGTGATAAGACACTGTTGAGGCTGCTTTCTCTTTCTCTCTCTCTCGTACTTTCTATTATGAAAGAAGGAAGGGAGGAAGAGATGGGGGAGGAAGGAAGACAGGTAGGTTTTCTGGGCCACAAGCCCTACTCAGTCTTTCTGTCCACCTACTAGCCTCAAGTTTCTCCCTTGAAGTTTCATTCCTTTCCTAGGGACAATGACCAGAGTCTTTTAGAAATGTCTCTCCAAGCACATCTCAAAGGGAAAATCTTACAGGCAGCAAAACAGAGAAGACAGATCACTTGCCAAGGAATGGCCTTTGGGCTGGGAGTAGGTTTTAATGGTAGCAATGAAAATACTGACTGAGGGGCCAGCAGATGGCGTGGTGGTTAAAGGCACTGGATTCCCACATGGCCAACTGCAGTTCAAATACCAGACCTGGGGCTTGCTTTCTCACTTTCCCTTTCTCTCTCTGTCTCTGTCTGGTCAAATTAAAATAATAATAATAATAATAATAACAATAAGTGGAAATAAATAAATAAATAATTCTCTTTTTTAATCTTTTTTTTTTTTTTTTTTTGAGAGGGTTTTTCTTTTTGGCGT